CTTACTACTCGGGATTCATGGCGGGATCTGGGCGCTCCCGCGGTGTCCAATCTGGCTCGCGGGCAGGAGGACGGGGATCAAGATCGAGTCCTGGGCAGGCGGAGGCAGGCGGCCTCACGACTTGCCCGACTTCTTGGCATCTCGTCTCGCTCTTCCCGTGAATCAATCAACAATGCGCTGGGAGAGGACCAGGCTCCAGCAGGCCAGCCCGATTTTAGACCAACTGGCCAGACGCGTGGAAACCCTTTTTTTCCCCTCATTTTTCTCTGCAACTAGTAAGTGTTCACGTGCAACGCACGTATAATTATTGGTTGCATTTCAAGTAGATGCCAACATGTGGTAGATAAAAGGTTGCTTTGCGTCTCGTGGCGTATAGGAAAGCTTGACAACGCATGAAACGATGAATGTTCATGTCTGGTACACACAGTCACAAACATTCATAAAACTGGAGAGTATAAATCAACCCATACAACTCGTTATTTCATGCCTCCGTTTACTCTTTATATGCATCAAGATGCTCTTGACATGTAAATGTTTAGTTCATTCTGCACGAAGTGTCAAAGCACTAAAAATCCAAAGCTAAACTTGGCAAGCAACATACACAATTCTACAATGTTTCCCCTCTTTCATCTGTGTTCATCCTCCTCCAAGCCAGCAAGCTTTCATGCCAAAATGCGAAAAGAACAATGCGCTGAATAAATACAAGGGTAGACATAGGAAAACAATAGTACAAAATAATATCCCGGAACACAATGGGGACATATGGAGAAGCACCAGTTGTAGAAAATAAGAAAAAAAATGCAAGTCATGACCATTTTTGATAGTTTTCCTTTACACCCACTTATGTGTAATACTATCAAACAATAAAAATAATTTGATGGTCATTAGTTCCTAAGCATTAACCGAATGAACAGCGAAAGGACCTCAAAGTATTTATACGTAGAAGAATAGTAAAAAATATATTTATTTATAGATGGTTCATGTGAGAGAAAAAAATCACATCTTGCAATTTAGACCATCCAGCCCCTTTATGAAGTGAAAGGAGTTCCAAATGTAACAACTTAAAATAAACCAACTCCAGCAGTACAAGTGTTACAAATTAAGAAAAAACAAATAATGTGTTGATGACACATGTAAACGACATCTGCTAAGAAACACCGAAGATATAAAGATAGCACACTCTGGTTAGTAATGCATAGAAACCTTATTTTGAAAAATACAAGTCAGCACAGGCACGTCGTATAAGTTTGCAAGAAACCATAAATGTTGGTTGGGCAGTTGTCTTACAAGCAACATAAATTACCGGCACTCCAACGGCATCCCTTGAGAAGGGGCGACCGGTGCGGCACCCTCGGCGGTTCACGAATTACCGGCACTCCGGCAGCGTCCCCTGAGAAGGAGTTGTTGGTCCTTGGCTCCTTGTCGCCGCTGAGTGGAGTCCGGTTGTGGTGGTTTTTCTTGGGAGAGATAGGATCGTGATCCAGGAGGTCGAGGTGATGGACGTGTCAATGTGTGCGAATATACCCGATTAGTTTCCTAATAAAATGCGATCGTGATTAGTTTCCTAATAAAATGCGATCATGATTAGTTTCCTAATAAAACGTGATCGTGATTAGTTTCCTAAGAAGATGTGATCGTGATTAGTTTCCTAAGAAAACGCGATCATGATTATAGTTTCCTAATTGATCGGACGTGGAGTTTCATATGATGAAGCACGGTCAATCAATGTAAATTGTTAAGTGCAAACAGAAAATGGATTAGGTTAAGGCTAGCCATTAGATTGAGTTTACTGGGCTTAATCATGCGGTCATAATGAATCTGTGTACGTTTTACGGGGTGCACGTAAGAAAGTTCTTGTTTGATTGTTTAATAGTAGTGGAGAAACAACGTCGCACGTGCCTCCCGTCGGTGGCCGCTGAAACGAACCGTGGGACTATCTCGTTCTACGATTAAACTAGCGATGATGATGCTTGCATATGGAAAGGTTAGGGCAACTCCAATGCTAGTAGCCTAGTATGCATCAAATCCGGTCCGAACCACGCGGTTCAAACACTTTTTGTCACCTGACATGGTACATCAAACGTCCGCAGACCCATCCGGGTCAGAAAAATACATTGAACGGGGAGTAAAAGGGTTATATCAAATAACCAAGCTTTGGGGACTTGGAGAAGCGAGAGGATTTCCCTGGTAATGCTTGGTTTCGTCAATTCGAGCGCTGCCGGGAAGTGAAAGAACTATCCAACAAGTTTGCGATGATAATGCCTAGATCGTACCAAAACGCCCGCCATCGCTGCATCACATCACAATACTTGTGGATTTGGTATTCTTTCTTTAGCTTGACAGGCCTCGCAATGATATCAACGTGCTTCAGCGATCTCAGTTGTTTGCAAAACTTTGCAATTTCCACTTGGTCCATAGGAGCAACCGCGGAACCAAGGTATCCATCAGATCCAGTTTGCAGGTGCGGAATCATGGGGCTCAGCGGGATTCAAAATCTTTCACATGGTGCTGGAGTGCAATCACATGTGTAGCTTCAAAGAGGTCTAATGAATGCACAAGTAGGGGGAGTCTGCTTTCAATCCTCGTGGAGGACAACATAGTGCTAATCAAAGTGCTTGAATGGGTGGCCAGATGTCTCAGGCACAATAACCGTCTCAATAATTTGTTCCTGGAGGGGTTCAAATGCAGTGTGGCCTCAGAAAGTTAGTTAACCAAAGTTCGTTCATGCTTTCTATGATCACTAGTGCAAGAAGAGTTTATCTTTTTACAACATATTCATAAACGTCACCCAAAGTTTTGGATAACTTGTTGTATGGACGTCACCCAAACAAGTCATTTTAATCTCCGTTAAACCCAGAACATCATGATGTATTTTTTTAATGTTCTCGATTACGCCTTCCCATATATATATCGATGGCGACTCGAAAAGGTATATAGAAACCTTTTAAAATTCAGTCAAGCTGAAGCAATTGTATCCATCCTTTGTGTTTTTCGATGCTTGTGTAGCTACGTTGTAATCTTTATATAGTGGACTATATGTAGCCACAAATTGCAAGAGTATGGCTTGGGAGCTAGCCCCAATTAATATATTTACCAGCTTGGCATGAAGTTGGTTGGTTTCAATTATTTTTTAATAAATCGGAGTTGACATCATAGATAAAATAGAATAATTTAGTTATTTTACATGGCTCACAATCTTACATACACCAGAAAATCTTAATGATGAACAACATAGGCTGATTTGACATTATTGTCAGCTTCAGTGGTGGGCATTGTTAGAAATTTAGCCATAAAACCACAATGTACCCATAATAATTTTAATTCATTGTCCAAGCTTCGTCACTATGAAATGCCTAGCCCTAGTTACAGAAAAGGAGCAACTCGGCGCACAAAAAAATCATAGAATCAAACTTTAGTACCTAGGTACCAGTTTCATTCTTACATATTAAAGTTATTTACAAGGTTGATTTTGTAGAGAGGCATTGATTTTCATGTTCGGAAACAATATGAAGGGACCGCCTCATCAGCCGTAGCAAACACCCCCGTTAGATCATGTAGACATGGCGGTATAATTTACTAGTATGACACTGTAGAGTTCAGCGAGAGAAATTAGGGGGAAAATGTTGTCATTTGTGACTACATAACTATGTGTTGTTCATTAATTTTAGTGTATTGGAAAAACATTGGCAAGTAAACATGTTCAAATGTCATATTTATAGTTTGGTATGATGCAATGCATGAAAGGAGTGACTATCTCAATTGACTTAGAAAGTCAACATTCATAATCATTTAATTACAATATGCTCACCTTTTTGCGTTTGCATTAATGTTGATGAAAATTGTTACTTTTAGTTGTCTCAAAAATAGTAAAACCATAAAAAATGACTCTTTCTTTCACATCACCCAAATCTCTTTAGACTTTTTTTTTCATAACTGGTTGCAAGGAGAACATGTTAAACGTTAACAAGTTGCAATTGGAGCAGTGCGTCCACGGTCCAGCATTAATATACAAGACACATGTTTTTTTTGCGGGGATATACAAAACATGTGACTGGAAATTAACATATTTTTTTAATCTTTGTAGGCAATGATTCGTAAAGTCACATATCAATATGACTCCATACCTCAAGTGAGTGATCTCATGATTTTAGATTCATGGCTTCACTGTTCCTTCCATCGAGATTCACTCAGTGTTTACTCAGCACAAATGCAAAAGAGAAGAGCAACATGTGAGTTTGACGTAAAAGCACGAGAGAGAGAGAGAGAGAAGAAACCGCTGCCCCTCCCTCTAGCGGTGAAGCCGCTGGTCCTACTCGAAGTACTCGAAGTATGAAAAACACTCGGCATATTACGAAATACTCCCTTTGTAAATTAATAAAAGAGTGTTTAGATCACTATTTAGTGATCTAAATAGTGATCTAAACACTTTTATATTAGTTTACAGAGGGAGTACTACATACACATATGAAAAACACTCCACGTACACATTGAAAAACAATCGGTATACTACGAAGTACTCGACATACACAATTTTTCCTATAGTGTTAGTAGTCGCATTTATATATGCTCGTGCGAAGAATTAAAATTGGATCATGCTCAATATATCCATCTAAAAATTTATAAGGTGACCAATCAACTTCATTAACAAAGATCAACCAAGGAGGTAAATCTTGTAACTGATAATCTTCTAGGTACTACCGGATATCTTTACCTACTAATAAACCAGCTACTGCTTCTGGTCGTCCGTCATGGCAGTTTTGCAAAACAGTCCCTCTGTTTCTAAGAAATCAACTCGCAGTCCTATCTTAAGTGGATATCTAAGAAAATGTTTCGTTTTTGCAGAAAACACCCTGGCACTCGGAGTATTCAACACGTGGTCCGAGCAGATTTGCAAAGGAAAAAAACACAACAACACACGCACGGGCTCGCCTCCTCTCCCTCTCGCCCATTAAGTCGCCGCTGCCGTCGCCCACGCCGGCCGCTTCCGGCGACCTCCAGCGTCGCGCAGCATGCCCCCGA